AAATACATTTTTTATTTTTTGTTTCACACAAGAAACTTTTAGTTAGCCTGGGAGACATTGGCCCTAAGTCACCCAATAAACATCAAACTGAAAAAAGATTCTAATGTGAATTTCCCATTTCTAGTTCAAGAGTTGAACAATTATCAGAAGATATCAGCTTCTTTCTGTCCTTGCAGATTATTACCGATGTCTGAATATTATGAAAACCAAAGGCAAGGATATGCAGAAGTGTGAATGGTACCATAAGGTTTTCAAATCTTTGTGCCCCAGCAGTTGGGTAAGTAGAAATATCAGTTATAGAAGAAGAAAAAACAATCATTATCTTTTTTCCCTACAGAATCAGTGCCTTCCTTCCTTCCTTCCTTCCTTCCTTCCTCCCTCCCTCCCTCCCTCTCTCCCTCCCTCCCTCCCTCCCTCCCTCCCTTCCTTCCTTCCTTCCTTCCTTCTTGGAGTGATGGATCATTTCATTTAGAACCTGGGGCAAAATATGTACTTTCTGGAAAGTCTGAAACTTGTTCATCCCTTTCAAAAGAAAGTTACAAATGTGTTTACCCCATACCAATTTTCCATATCTATGAACATGGTCTTCTGAAAAGTCTTGATTATTTATCATAGGTTTGTTACTACTTAAACATATTTGTAATATCCATGAAACTTCTAGTAGAAAATTGGTCTTCAATCTGATAAATATTTTTAAAGAGGTACCCACCAGTGCTTCAGACCAACTGGATTATATATATTAGATAATTGTAGTGTAACAGGAGAGCCTATGACGTGGCCTTGTCTTAGCCATGATTGTAAAAGACTTGTCCTACTTTTTTCTCTGAACCACACAACACTCGCTTGTAATAAAACACACAGGATAGCAATGCATCCATCAGCGTCTCTTTTTATCAGCAAGGTCTGGATTTCATCAAGGTTCACATTGTTACTGTGAAAAGGCTGTAAATGTGTATCAAATCCATTTGCTATATATAATGCAGGGATGTGATCTCTATTTACATTTTTTTCAAATTTCTATTTACTATTTCTTCAAACACTGGCCATATCAATCTTTTTGTTTTGAAGATTCATGAGACAGAAGATGTTAGATGATCATTAATGGATCAATGATATGATAGTAAATTGCTTTGATTGATATCCCCTAATTCAGTAATAATTTAGCCTACAAATATAGGTAGGCTTTGACATCTGATCACAACTGGGACTGGAATTTCTGTTGCTAATCAAAGTAATTGTTAAGTGAGTTGCACCCAATTTCATAATCTTTTTGCCACAGTTGAGTGAATCATTACAGTTATTGAATCATGCGATTGTTAATTGAATCCTGCTTCCTCTATTGATTTTGCTTGTTGGAAGCTAGCTGAGAGGGTTGCGATCATATGACCCCAGCATACTGCAACTGTCATTAAATACATTCCGGTTGCTAAGTGAAATTCAGTTGCCTGAATTTTGATCATGTGAACATGGGGAAGGACTGGACATGTGTTATTTTTTTCAATGCCATTGTAATTTTGAACAATCACTAAAAGAATGGTTTTAAGTCGAGGACTACCTGTACTGCTGAGTTTGCTGTCTAGGAATTTGAGAGTTGAAAGAAAGCACATCTGCAAGACATGAAGAATGAAAAGATGCCATTTTGAGATCTTCAATGTTATAGAGAGGAATATTGCTAGTTTTGTTGTTATTGTTCCAAGACTCACAATATTGTGTGTCTGTGCTTAAGCGACTTTAAGGTTCTTATTTGCTCTTCAGGTTAATCAGTGGGATGAGCAACGTAAACTGGGAACTTTTCCTGGCAAGATATAAAGATCTATCTTCTGTTGCCTTCATGAAGATAGCCTGGGAGGTACAACAGCAAGTATATTTTCATCTAGTTCCAATTCAACGATTAGTTACTGCAGAATCTTCGTCCCACCAAAACAGAACAAAACGCAAATAGAAGTATTGTTTTTAAAAAATCAACAGAAGAATAATTCCCAATAAACAACTTTTTAACAACTGAAATGTTTAGGTATTTTTAAATGCTTTTCTCCCCAGATTCATATATGAAGCTTTTATTTTCTCGTTATCTTCAAATTTATTTATGTTTTAGCTTATATCTTATTCTACTTGTTCATGCTACAATACCTCTGAAGAAATATTTTCCTCTTCACAATTTTAAATTAATTACACATGTAAGTTTTCTGTGGAAACCTGTATTAGTTTTTTTCTCAATAGTTTATTCAAGACACATTTTTCTCTCTGCTTCTTAGATGTTTTGGGCTATCATAGCAACCTTCCTATTATCTTCAGCAACTGGATCTGTAGTCCAATATATATGAAAACATAGTTGTGGATAGCTGCTTCAGGATAAGTTGGTTAATTGAAAAAATGGTACAAGAATGGATTGAATCTGCCCCTCACATCTTGGTTTTGATCCAGATCTGAACAGGTGATTTATGTTCAAATTTATGAGCCAAAAAACCCCCACAGCTTATTTTACCACATAAGGATTCACAAAATCTGAGGCTTCAGGTATAAACCTAAGATTGCCATGCCAAGATTTTTGCTTTCTAAAACAAGATTTTGTATGCAGATATTGGATCCACACCTCAAAATATACAAGGGATAATGAACGGGAAAGGTGTGAAGCCAGGACATAAACACCACTCCTTTCTCCACACCCAGGCATACTGGCTAAGGAAAATAGTTGGAAGGGAAATGCACACTCATGTACTGAGCAAACACACACCCAAAATCAAAATTGGGGTCGAGAAAGTGTTGACACGCCCTGCCAGGACAACCCCATCCTATGAAGTGGACTGTGGCAAAGGGAAAACACGTCTCCTCTGGAATAATAACTCAGGAAACAGGTGCGGGAAATCTCTTGATGCAAATGTGAGATTGGATGGATGGGCAGCATTGCTAAAGCTGCTATTCCATGGCCCCAAACAGATATGCTCACCCACCCTCTGTCATTTCTGTGCCAAGGATCTTTCTCCAATAGTCATACGCTTTTTGTTTTGGGTTATGCAAGCACTGGCTGTGCCTGTTGCTTTCCCTTATCTTGTGATTACTTTTGCTGAGTGGGGACAATCTAATGGAATCTTCTCCCTGGTGCTCCATGCTTTGAGAAGAGGAACCATGGGCTGAATGATGAATTGAACACTGAGTTGATTCAGGAAGTCTTCATTATAAGCCACTGCTGAAGCTCTCAAGGTGGCCTGAGGCTAGCTGGTTTTTTTCTGCCTCGGCCTTGCAACATGGAAACAATGACAATAATAATAATATAGCTTTCCTGTGTGCTTGCTATAAGAGTTACAGATAGTCCTTGACCTGCAACAGTTCATTTAGTGACCGTACAAAGTTACAGCGGCACTAAAGTGACTTATTATTGTTTTTCTAACGTCCATTGCAGCATCTCTGTGGTCATGTGATCAAAATTTGGAAGCTTGGCAACTGATTCGTATTTATGACAGTTGCAATGTCCCGGGGTCACAGGATCACCTTCTGTAACATTCTTACAAGTAAAGTCAATGGGGGAACCAGATTCACTTAATGTTACTTAACACTTAATGTTACTAATTTAATAACTGCAAGTGATTCGATTCACTTAACAGCTATAGCAAGGAAGATGGTAAAAAGGGGCAAAATTCACTTAACAAATGTTTCATTTAGCAACAGAAATTTTAGGCTCTATTGTGTCATAAGTTGAGGACTATCTCTATTAGGATAACATGACTGTTTTAAAACAGGCCAGCAGATGTCCTGTTCTTCTCTGATGTTTTCAAAGTTAATCAGTTGCTTCCATTAAGTTAATGGGAATAGAGATTGGGAGAAGAATGTGGTTCCCTTTTCTCAGCATGTATGGAACTGATGAAAATAACTGTTTATATTCTGCAGGAGAACAAGAATCAGTCTTTTCCCCACCTTCCATATGATGCTCTTAAGGGATTCAACATTGCCTCAATCTCAACTGCACTTCAGCTTTTTAAAATCACCCAGTGGTGTGCCTAATTACTTCCTCTACACTCTTACGCCAGGGCCAGTCAGCCAGTTGTGACTCTGCTCTTACTTTAGCCATGCCCCTTAAGCATCCTTTTTAAAACAAACTGAAACATCAACTAAGTAGGCAAAGTGACGTAGCCCAATGGTTCCCAGCCTGTGATCCACAATGATCCTGCAGGTGGGGCTTGTGACCTTGCCAAAATGAGAGGTGTCCATGTGTGTGCTTTGGTGTACTGTACATACACTCTTGGGAGGTTGCAAACTTTAATAAGATTTTGACTTTCTCATCCTATATCTTGTGGGACTTGACAACATTGCATGATTTCCAACATTTCAATTTATTTTTATTGAATCTTGGGACCCTATAGATGCCACCAGTGGGAATTATATGGGCTATTGCTCCTCTAGATATTAGACTGCTTAACCTCAAAAGAAAATGCTAGTTTAACTTGCTTCAACAGGCTGACATATAAGCTTCTCACAATGTGGTGATTAGGAACGATCATCTGGTCTAACTCATTGCAATTAGAATAGCCAAGGAAAAATGTTGGTATATGTAATGATATGCCAAAACCCTGAAACTTACATCTGGAACAAACAGTTTTAGGAAAACAATGAAGGCAATTTTTTCTCATAACTCCCTTCTGTCCAAATTGTCAAATCAATAGGCCTCACTATTTGATGACTGCAGCAGAATGCATCAACTCATCCCTATTCTACTTGGCAGAATTTATCTCCTCCCCACCTCAGATGTATTGCAAGAGGCTTCCTGACCCAGTCCCTGCTAGTTCAAGTGCTGGTCTGTCTGTCCCCTTCCCTGCTCTCTTGCCCTCCCCAGTTCTTGGGAGAGGCCTTGCTCCAAGCCAGTTTCCTGCCCACCCACCCCCATCTCTTTTTCCTGCCCCACCTCCTGTGTGTGAATGACCAGAGGCACGGGAAATCCGTACGCAGTCATTCTGGATTTAAGTCACAGCATATACAGGAACACCATAGCAGAGACCGAAGGGAGGAGAAGAAGGAGCTTGGCCCATGGGATGCCCGAAAGTGAGTGATGTGCAGAGGACACAGCATCTGGGACATCCTCTGTAGCCGGTAATCACGTTAGTCTTTGACTGGGTATGCACTTGTTTGTCTGGGGGCAAAATTTAATAGACTATATAGCGTAGTTTCAAAAGCAGGTTTGGACAGTAAACAGGTGGGAAAATGGGGGAGACTGGTGTGGATAAGGATGAATCCTGATACATAACAACATAATAAGTTCTGGCACTAGTATTTCTTCACCTCTAGTTCTGTCTCTTTCCCACCACTGTTTTATTACCAAATCCAGAAGTTGGGAGGTTGGCTTTCTCCTTGCACTAAACAATTATTTTGATCCCACATTAGATAATCAAGTCTCCCTGCACCATTCCTTACCTTCTGTCAAAAATATGTTCTACATCAAGTCAATATTTGGGGCAAGTTTATAAAGTGGAAATTGACTGGGGAAAAAAATAGCCAATTGGGAATAGCAAACCTATTCTGAGTGGTAGATTGGACTAGAATACCTCTAAGATACCTTCCAACTGTGTTGTCCTGTGTTATCCTGTTAAACAATTCATATACTGCACCCTGTATTGTTTTCTTTTTTTAATCCAGGGGATGGGAAAACAGGAAAGAATGTATGATTGAAATATCTCTTGATTTTTGGTCTTGGATTTTGAGAAAGTTTGGTGCATGCAGAGCAAAATGTCTGAGTTCTGTGCTTAAAGTATTAAGGCTTTATGGAAAGGAAAAGGCTGATATACCAGCTGATTAAATAGGGAAGAATCGTGTTTTAGAGCTTCATTTTATGATTCTGATTGAAGCATTGGATAGGGTGGGGCCCAGATGGCTTTATCTCATAGGGTCTTCCCATTGTTTCCAGTCTCCCAAGAACTAATCAGTTTGTGTGAGGTGAGGCCCAGCTATTCTGATCCCAAAGCTGGTTATCTCATCTTTTCCTGTTGACGTAACTGTTCGATTCAAGACCTATGACTCATATCCACCATGGAAGTTCTGGATTTGTTCTCACTGCCTCTTTGATCTAGATCTGAATTTTGCAGCTCATGAAAAATTAGCTAATTGGAGCCTGGAAGATTTAGTCAAGGAAAGGATCTAAAATAGCTGTTGACAAGCTGCTTGACAAGATTTATGGGGCTACAAATGCCCAAGGGTATATGGGCAGGCCGAATGGCCAACAACAAGCTGCCTGGTAATTATGGGCATCATCCAACATATCTGAAATGCCCCAAGCTAGAGAAGGGCAAATATATGAATCAGAAGGGTAAGGACAAATCAAACTGAAACAAGGAATGGAGAGCAAAGTCTTCCCAGCTCCATTTCAGGGCTGTGCGAACTGTGTCCAAATAGGTACATATGCACATACATGTCACTACAATATATCTGCATCCCGCTTTTCTAAATAAAATGTTTAAAATTGATTAAAACAGGGCAGGTGACGTAGTTCAAAGTTTCAAATCTACAAGTTAGCAAAAGTGTAGGGACCATTTGGCCAGTTTGCTCATATAACCAATGTTAAGGCCAATGCTTTCCAGGTGCTAAGTATTGATGAGCAATGCTAGCACACACCTGTGCACAGTCTCACTCTTTTCTTTTTCTTCTTTACCTAAAACAGACCTAGAATTAGATTAAAATAAAAGAATGCCATCCAACAGTCAAAGAAGTGCTCTTTGTAGAGTAAGAGATATGGCTACTCTCTTCGAGAGCCAGTCAAGCAAGACTGGAGGTGGCAAAGTAAGAGAAAGACAGAAGCAGAGAGACTTAACCATAGGGCTATCAGAATTGGCTGCAAAAATGTAGGGAATCATTAATTGGCAGCAAAAAGTCAAATAATTTTTGGAACTCTTTGCTGTCAAATATCTGGAATTTTGCAGCCTAAACCAGGTACCTTAATACCCTAATCGACTCACCAACCTTGCTACTCAAATTGGAATCCATCTGAGAAGAAGTTGGGGACTGTCACATAGCCAGATTAGTTTTAATTCTGTGAAATTCAAGATTTTGTAAATCTGATTTGTAAACTATCTCTTTCATTTTTTCAGTCATTGTGATACACACATAATAACCACATCCCTGTCTTCCATAGCTTTTCTATATTAAAGCACAACAAACCCTATATTGTTTTAAGAAAGAAATTAAAACTGTTCATATTGTGCTCTATGACCAATGATCTTAATATCCAACAGCTCTGCTCTATATCACTTTCAGAAAGCCAAGGTTTAAATATAAAGGAAATAAAAAAACTATAACTGCAAGGGGTGAGAAGAGCTAAGGAAGCTCCATCCAAATGCTGCACAAGCCGCTCTGTTTAGGTCAAAGAACATCAGGGGAGGCCACAGTCACCAAGAACCGGTCTTACAGATTGTATTTTTCTGTCTGTTTCTCTCCTCCCCCACTTCCTCTTCCCCTCCTTGTGTCTTTCAGTAATTCCAAGTGTTTGTGATCATGTTTTCGGATGAGCGAAAAGACGGGAGCCCCCGCTTTGGGAAACTTCACTTTCCCATGGGGCTGTGGATCAACTCACCAAAGAAGCATTTTGCAAAGTTGGGACGTAGGTGGCCAAGCGTGGGGTCCGTCAAGTACGTATTCAAAGAGAACTATTGCTGAGCTTTCCTTTAAGCTGCCTTGATATCTAAAATTCATAGCAATACCCTCTCCTCTGAATAGATGTGTTCCTACCAGGCTTGATTATTAGTAAATTCAAGTAACATTGAAACATGGGGCTGTTTCTTACAGGGAGGACAAGATTTCCTCCATCAGTCAGTCAGGACCTCAAAATCCTACTCATCCATCAGATGCAAATATGTGGGATAGTTCTAGGAGCCAGGGAAATACACCATTATGTTGGCAAAAGATATTAGAGCAAAGACTGGCTCCAACTGAGGTGTGCCTGTCAAAAAAGCTGCAGTCAAATTCAAGAACTACTACACTAGAAGAGATCCTGTCAGGTCATCTGAACTGACCTCAAATTCACAGCAGCATGTATGAGTTTCAGTGCTTGTCTTCTTAAGACATTGCACCAGTTCAGGCAAAAACTGTATAGATGGTCCTCAGCATATGACCACAATTGGAACCAGATCTTCCATTGCCTGATTTTATAACCGTTTTTGCTACTGTCATTAAGCAACTCACACAGTCACTAAATGAATTTGCCTTTATCCATTGGCTTCACTTGTAAAGCCATCTGGGAAGGTTGTAAATGGTGATGATCATGTGACCAAGAATACTGCAATTGTCATAAATACATGGCAGTTGCCAAGCACCTAAAGTTTGATTGTGTGATCACAGGGATTCTGCAACAGTCATAAGCCACTTTTTTAGTGCCATAATTTTGAGTGGTCGCTAAACAAATGGTTATAAGTTGAGGACTACCTCTATTACTGCCCAGGATTAGCTCTGAGAACCCAGTTCTTGGGATTTATAAAACAAGAAAAAAAAACCTTGTCCAATAACATATATACATCACAGTAAGTCCATTTTATCACATTTCTTTGCATAATCATGTTCCCTAGCATCATCTGGCAATAATTACTATGAGTTCCATACTTTCAGTATGTCAGGTAATATTCTATATCTTATTGGTCTTCACCTCACTCTCATCTGCATTTCTTCCTTCCTTCAGTTCAGAAGAATAAGAGAAGCATTATGGATACTAAGTCACTGGTTTTGAACAGAATCATCAAGTACTACAACAAATGCATGTTCAAAACAGTTAATTTATCCAGAAAATCATACAACATTGAACAGACAAAGCAAATCTCAAGGATCAAAGCAAGACTCTTATTTAGGGATTTAGAATGACGACTGAAAAAAATGGATAGAAATTATATTTCCCCATGATTTGGCAAAGTAGTACAAGGCAAATAAAAAAACTTATTGGGAGGAACCTTCTCATCTCTACATCTCCTTTCAATTATATCCCACCCTTCCTCCTATCCAGGCTTGCCTGTTTTGGGCATCTTGTTTGTAATTAGCCTAAATTTCTCACATTTTTTTCCAAGATGGAGGAAATAGTTTAACTAAATTATTGGTTAACAGCTATATCAATAGGGCTGTTCCGGCTGTTTGTTGATGACATCTCTTTCCTGCTTATCAGTCTTCAGAACTGCCATCACTCAGATTTGGCTTTATGGAGAAATTTCCCAGAGATCAGTGTTTGTCATTCTTGGAGTTGAAGTTTCCACATCTTAACAGTTGTCCAGGTTGAGAAATGCTGCTCTAAATGATGACAACCTGAAACAATTTGGTGCAATAACAACACTTTCTGTCCTGATTCTGGAATCCAAAGGTTTAAAAATGTAACACCTGGTGAAAATTATGTATTGAGTGGGAGACATGCTTTAGCTCAGTTCTCTGTATTAGCCTATTTGGATAAGTGTCAATATACTTTTTTCCTTTTAGCTTTGTAAAAGTGCTCATCCCAGAGTTGTTTCACAGAGAGAGGGTGGCATATAAATTGATAAATAAAACAAAATAAATCCCCATGAGCTTCCACTTCTCTTCATAGACCAAAATAAAAAGTCACTAATAACTTCATATTTTATTGATTGATCTTTCCCCTTTGAATCTCAATCCAGCTGAATTGGTTGGGATCTACCCATTCCAAACCTATCTGTTCTCCCCTCAGGTCTACGTCCTCAGACACTGCCAGTCGTGGCAGTGAACCTGTGGAGATGCGCCCAGCCAAGAATAAGGCTGCGCGGCACAAGAGGCTTTCAACTTTCTTCCAGCGAAGTGGGGTGGGAGGGCCCACTGGTGGGGCTGGAGGCCGCTGGGCCAGTGAGAAGAAACTAGCGGATCTCATTGACCCCCTGCCTGAAGAACGAGTCAAGCCCCCGTCTCAGGGAGAAGTGCCAGGAGTCCTGAAAATTTACGGAGGTGACATCTCCATGGGTGCCAACTATAAGAGTGTGCTGGCAACCGCACGCTCCACTGCCCGCCAGCTGGTGCGGGAAGCTCTGGAGCGCTATGGGGTGACACAACCTAATGCTGAAGAGGCTTATGTGTTGTGTGATGTTGTGGGCCGGGTTCATGGCATGGATAGCTCCTGGCAGGCCCAGTATCTTCGGGCAGTTGGCGATGGTGAACGGCCACTGGTGCTGCAAGATGTGTGGAAGCCCAAAACTGGTTTCACTCGACGCTTTGAGATTCGCCGCCGATGTGATGTAGAAAGGATGGTCGAGGGAGAGGATGAAGATGGAGGCGGTGAGTGTTCTTTGATGCTGGTCAGGTTTTTCTACTCCACAGATTCATGAGCTGTACCCATTTTTCAGACATTTGTTTTTGTTTCTTGAACGAATTCACATTTCTGGGCCTTATGTGCAATTTATTTATATGCTTGATTTATATCGCACCTTCCACCCTGGCAGCAACCAAAATTTAAAACCGAAATGGAATATATAAAGTCAGACAGATAAATTAAAATTAATCCTACATTTTTACAGCTAATTGAAGAAAAAGCCTTTCTCTGCCTAGCGCATGACTAATTTGTGGGCACGGGATGTAGTGTGACAGACTTGAGTTTAGAAGGTTTTCACAAAATATTTGGTATTTGCTTGGAAATCCACCCCATTAGCAGCTAATTAGCAACTGCTTTTAATTCCACGAATAGGTAGTCTTCAACTTGTAACTACAACTGAACCCAAAATTTCTGTTATTAAGCAAGGCAGTTGTTAGGCAAGATATGCCCTATTTTACAACATTTTTGCCACAGTTGTTAAGCAAATCACTACTGTTGTTAAGTGAATCATGCGGTTGTTAAGTAAATCTGACTTCCCCTGTTGATTTTGCCTATTGGAAGTTGGCTGGGAAGGTCGTAAATGGTGGTCACATGACCCCAGAACAGTGCAACTATCATAAATGCTGTAAGTCGCCCAGACTTGTTGGATATGAGATCGGTGGCAAATAACCTTCTAAACAAATAAATAAATACATGCCAGATGCCAAGCGGCTAGATTTTTCATCAAGTGACCATCTGGATGCTGCAATAGTCATAAATGTGAACACAGGTCATGTCACTTTTTTTCAATGCCATTGTAACTAAATGAACTGTTATAAGTTGAAGATTATTTTTATAGCCACAGCAGATAAACCTAAATTATAGCCCTCTTTCCAAAATAGAGTCTAAGGCTAATGCATTCTCTCTTTCCCCTCATTCCTCACTGGCAAATGGAGCAAATCTCCCTTCCATTGCTTCATTTATCTACACCTGTGTTTTTCAATTTTAAGATGGGTGGACTTCATCTTCCAGAATTCCTCAATTAGTTTGCTGGCTGGGGAATTCTGGGAGTTAAACTTAAAGTCCATGCATCTTAAAGTTGCCAAGTTTAAGAAACACTGATCTACAGAAACAAATAGTGGGAGGATAGCAGTATGGAAACTCTTTGAATGGAAAACAGGTTTTCCTATTCAGCATGCAACTTATGACTACAACTGGAATCAGAATATCTGTTTTACAACCTTTTGTGCCAATGCAATTAAGTGAATCGTATGGTTATGAAGCAAATCCAGCTTCCCAATTGACTTTGTTTTTCGGGAGCTGGCTGGGAAGGTCGCAAATGGTGATCATGTGACCCCAGAATATTGCGACCATCATAAATACATGCCAGTGCCAAGTGTCCATATTATGATGTGACCATAGGGATACTGCAACAGTTTTAAGTGCGAGAACCAGTCGTAAGTTACTTTTTTCAGTGCAGCTGTAACTTTGACAGTCATTAAACAAATGGCTGTTAAGTCAAGGACTACCTGCATACTGGTGCAAAGAGAAGAGGTGCCTATCACATGACATGTCCCTTTTATTCTTTTTCTTGCTTGGTTTTAGCCATACCAACATATTTCTAGGTACTCCAAAAAATACAAAGTACTAAGTAGAAAGTAGAAAATACAAACTAATTAAATCTGTACAAAAGCAGCTTTTCTGAATTTTGTATGACTAATTTTTATTGTCATAGGTGATCTATGAAACTCTTCTCCTGGTTTTAATTCTTTCTCTTTCTGTTTGTCATAGGTATTAACTCTCAGTCACGCCGGCAACAATCTCGACGCTCCCGGGCTGCCTCGGGGGGCCACGTGGGCCCCAAAGAGAGAGCAGACAACCTCTCGCTCCGGCGCAGCATCAGTGAGATGAATCTCAGCACTAAGCGCCGCAAGGACCGCAAAGGAGTGCTTAGCATGGCAGTTGGTGAACCGGTGGAAGGGGGTCCAGTGGAGGAATCACGGTTCAAGGCAGCTGAAGAGTCGGAGGGCAACCCAGCTCCTTCAGCTTCTGAAGAGGAGGCCATGGATGTGGCCAGCCTTGAGCAGCTTACTCAATGCCTCATACAGCCCCCAACTGAGCACCCCTATTTCCTGCAGTTACTGGGCTACAATGAAAAGCAGGTAAATGTCTATGGAGAATCTCTGTCATCCAGGTCATGGTTGTCCCAAAGCACTTTTTCAAGAGGCAACTGGACTTTCTGGGTTGTTGTTTTTTTTTTTGGAAGGAGTTTAGCCTCTCATCTAAGAAGCTTCTTCAGCCTTGACTGAAGATTTCAGCCCCACCATCCAGCCAGAGCTGAAGAAGCTTCTCGGATGAGAAACAAAACATCTTCAAAGAAAAACCAGAAAGTCCAGTTGCCTCTTAAAAAAGCAACTTTGGGAAAATCGGGTAAATTCACTTTGTTCAGCTTTCCATAGCATTCCCAAGAGAGGAAAGGCTAGGACAATTTCATCAAATAGAGTCCTCTTGAAATGTTGAACTTCAGCTCTTATCCTTTTCAGACACACTGATTGGGATTATGAGATTTTAAATCAAATTCATCCAGAGAATGCCAGTTAGGGAAAAGAAGGACTACTAATTTCTGCCTATTCACTGCACTGAAGTCATTCTTAACACGCACATTTACACATAGTAGCATTAAAGGGACTGAGAAGCACCTGGTCCAATGCCACAGAGAAAGAAAATTCATACGCACAGATACACTCACAAACACTCGAGTGCAGTGATTTGGCCAAGCTTCCATCTAGTCTAGTTATCCGTTCCCTTGAAACTGGAAAGTTCAGAATGTAATCATTTCAAGCTGCCATGTATAGATATTGTGTGGCCTAGATTCAGGAAGCAAGATTGTTTAAGTAGAATGGAGAACAAACCATAGCTGAATAATAGGGAAGTCTTCCACATCCCCTTGCTCCCCGCCAACCCCAGTCTTCTTATCAAGCTGATTAAAACAGTCAATTGTCAAATGACTTTTAAAAAAAACTTTGTATCTTCCCATAGAAAGAAAACCTATGGGATTTCCTCCCTCAGCAGTATAAAAATCTTGGGATTAAAAGAAAATACATAAGATAACATGCTGAACCACAAACCACTACTTAGCGCAGAACTGCTTAGCCTAGAGACTATGCAAACTGAACTAGTAGTGTATAGTTGCTAGTGCTCAACTTAAGTGCCCCAATCTCTGGGCATTTGCACACTCATTATCACAGGCAACAAATCTTGAGTCTTCTTTTGGCCACAAGCTGGCAAACTCAAATAAAAACCACACAGATTTCAGAAGGGGGAAATTTCATGCTAGTAGGGAGGCAAATGTAATCTTGAAAACTGAACATTTCCACTTGGGCCTGCAGGGAATTAATTAAATGGAAAAATTTCCTTTTCACATCTAAATTGGGTGGCCTTTTCTCACCTAAACTGCACTCTTCTCAGTTTCTCACATTACTCTGCTCCATTTCTCCCATTTTGCAGGAGTTTGTGATCCACGTGATGACACGTCGCCGCCACATCTTTGGACGCCCTGAGCGTCGCCCAGCTCCAGACCAATCGAGTTTTGTGGACACCTTCCTGAATGCCCCTGACATCTTGCCGCGGCACTGCTGTGTGGTATCCTCAGTGCCCCCTGCAGATCCCAGCCAGCCCCGGAGTTCAGCCATGGTGCGGCCTTTCCGGGGAGCATCTATCACCCACAATGGTGCCCCGCTCCATCGCCAGGTGGAGTTGGCCCCTGGAGACTTGCTGGGCATGGGGCAGTACTTCCTCTTCATGTACAAAGATCCAAGAGCTGCCACTGCTCCTCCAGCTTGGCTACCCAAAACCTGGGTGTCTCCAGGGCTGGTGGGGGCCTTGGCTTGCCAGGCATGTGGTCGGTCCCTGCAGGAGCGGCAGGAGGCATTCAGGGCCTATCTCAAGAGCCGAGAACCTCAGCTCCGCTACCGCCCCCAAGAGCAGGAGGCCCTTTTGGCTGAAATTGTGCGGCTGCAGGAAACATCCACTTGTAAGCTGGGACCTGCCTTCCTCTTTGGGCTCTGCCTAGAGCACGCTGCTCGGGAGCTGGAGCCAGGCCATCTACCCAGATTGATAGCCAGGATCGCTCAATTGGTGAAGGAAGCTGTTTGGGTAAAGGATTTTCTATTTCTTTGCTTGGGTCCTATGATGTCCTTGATTAAAAGGAATAATCCTTTATTTCAGAAATCTTTCCTTTAGATTTATTTAATTACAGCTGGTTTTCCACTTATAACCAGTTACTTAGTGGTTGTTGGAAGTTATGACCAACCAGAAAAATAGGAATTACAACCTGGATTCAAAGTTACAAGAGTTTGGTCACCTCTTCCATCACACGGTCTTTGGGCACCCAAAAACATAGGTGTATTTACCACCATTTGCAGTGTTCCACAAGCATATGACCTCATTTTACAATGGTTTTGCCAACAATTGTCATTTACAGTTTCTGTACTCATGCTTACCCATTGGTCTGCTTAACAACTGCAGTATTTGCTTAATGACTGCAGGTTTGCCTAATGGCTGGTGATTCACTTAAAAACTGTGGTAAAAAAGGTACAAAAACCATCATTATGGTCATAACTTGAAGACTATCTTTCAGAACAAATCCCATTCTCTGCTAGCACTAATAATGTTACCTAATTTGGTAACAAAACATCTGCAAGAAAACAGCCAAGCTCAGAGAGCACCAAGGACCTCTCATTTCAGCTCTGAGCTGCAATATTCTCCTGTCTCAGAAGTACAACCCTGCTTTCTTTTTTCCATTCTGAATGTCATTAATTCAAATCCACATAATCTGTGTCATGTTATATCTATTGTTATATGGCTATGACATTCTGTCATGGAATGGAAGACAGCATGACTAGTTTCCTTTAAAAAAAAAAGAAATACAAGAAAGGAGTACTGTAAGATAACTGGTTTTTAAGGAATAATTGCAAGATGCTACTTTTCTTGGCTCTACATAAAAAATAAAGCATTATTTATGTTCTTCCTTTCTTTCTTTCTAAAATTTCTAAAAATACTCAGAAGAGAAACAAAATCATATGAATGTAAAATAAAATATTTACATCAATAGCTGAGCAGAATTATATAGGTGTAGAACCCATAGGGAAAAACCTTCATAACTTACCTCCATATCAGATATCTTTAAATGAAGTAAATGTAGTAAATACTTTTTCCCCATTGATCCTCCAGTAACTAACTGTAGAAATCTTTCTGGCTATCAGGTATGGGAAGGGTTTGCGACCCTCCCTAAATAATTTCATTCTCTTACTCTTCTTCCTAGGGCAAGATCAAAGAAATCAGAGATAGACAACCAGAAAAGTAAGTAAATTAATTATCTCTAAAAGACTGTTTTCCAAGGCAAATTAGGCTTAGTCTGTACTGCAGCTTGTTTTGAGTTACAGATGTTGAGTGATTTGAGAGATGCAATAGAGAAGTCTCTAGTCATTTCCTTTTATCGGGGAGCGGAGCTTTGCATTCCTGGCAGCTTAAATTTGTTCGTACCCCTTGAGAGCAGTGAAAAATGCTGCTCTATCATTCCTGGAGGGTAAGGTCCATCTGCTAGTCCAGTCAAGGTCTATTTGTGGAATATTAGGAATATCTTACTCTTAGTCTGAGGTGGCCCAAATGGCTTAGGCACAGCTCCAGGCTCTTGAAAAATGTTCTCATTTCAAAATAATGACCTTAAACATCTCCACAAGTTTGTGCCTGAAGATATTTCTATGACCCAAACGCATAATAACCACTTTCAGTTCACCAATGTTAGCATCCCCTCCAGATTTATTGAGATACTATCTCCCAGAATTCCTAGCCTTGTGAAAGATACAAGATGACATAAGTTGATTTAGTGGGTGGTTAATCTTCTAGAGTCGATGTTACTCAACCTTGGTAACTTTAAGATGTGTGGACTTGAACTGTATGACTGGCTGAGGAATTTTGGGATTGAACTCCACGCATCTTAAAGTTACTAAGATTGAGGAACATGGATCTAGAGATTTTTCTAGCTCTGTTGAAGTGGCCAAGTTCAGTTTGCTTGTTCAGCCTTCTGGGATGCTGTGATGCAGTTTATCCTTCGCCTTCTTTAGACATCTAGATAGGTGGAGGTTACTCTTACCAGTTCCAACCAGCATTGACATTTTTGCATATTGACTGGAGATTATGAGAATTGACTTTTAAGAAGGACAATAGTAAATACTTTGTTTAAATACACACACACACACACACACACACACATATACACACACCCCTTGGGTTGATAGTAAATGCAGAATGTTGAGATAAACAACTCATTGTTTTTTAGATCAAGAGGACATCTTTATATGGAATTATTTTTCCCATTTGTGGATAATTTAGGGGTGTCCACCTGAATAATTTTAAGACCTATGGACTCAACTGCTGGCTGAGGAGTTCTAGAAGTTGGGTTTACATGTCTTAAAGTTGCTAGAGTTAAGATACCCCTGATTTAGTTCCTCCCATTCCTTTGCTGTTCAGCTCCTCCCCTACCTGTAAAGATTAGTTCTTCCCATTTAATTTAGGCAACTTTCACACAATCTTCACTTTAAACCGTAGTCCATTTTCACATCAACAGCATTTTCAGGTCATACATAACAAATACCAAGAGACAGCAGGCTTTGTAGAGATCAGTAGTTATGTGTGATTTCCCCCCCCCCTAAAGAAAACAAAACCGCATATCTATCTGTTCCAGCACTGGAGGAGGGAAATTACAGGAATTAGAGAAGAATGGAACTTTTTTGATACACAGTATTACTGAACAAAGCTATAAAGTTACAACATACCTAAGGTCATTCTAGTGACAAACAATTTCAAAAGAACAATTGCAGGTTGGCTGTGCTGAATATGTGTTGTCCAGATAAGCTATACAAAATATTCAGAACTTCTCAAAGAATGCAATGAAAAGTATTGTGTGGTAGCAATATGAAGACTGAAAGGCAAATTGCAAATGCACAAGTGGAAACCACACACTTCTGTCCTCTGGAAGCAAAGTTCACAATCATCAAGAAAGGCTGAACTTAGCATGAACTCTGAAAATGTGTAGAATGGCTTGAATGCAAAATATCCAGCCCAGTTGTTGTTTTAATATCCCAGCCAAAAGTCAGCTGCCTCTTGTTAGCAGGTGAGAACTTATCCAATCTCTCCCCATCCATTGATGCTAATCTCTGTCACTCTGGTGTTCCTTGCAGCCAGCAAGATAAAGGAGAAGTAGGAAACCTCAGCATTGAGGAAGTGGCAGCTGACTTGCGTCCTCTCATGCTTTGGATGGCTAATTCGATGGAGCTACTCAACTTAGTGCAAAAAAGAGTCCTAGACATTGAGAAAGATCTGGATTTGGAAGGTGAGCCAAGAATCTTATTTTTTTCTAGTAATCAAGGGAGTATTGAAGGACAGGGACAGGCCAACTATTTTTCAAAGATTCATCCCAGAACAGAGGGGTCAAGGAAATAGGACTTCCTGATTTCTCCAAGACTCATGTTATACTGACTCATGATAATTGCTGAGAATGGGGGCTGAGTGTACTGCCACTTCCTCTAGAAAAGACAAGGTTAGCTCAAGAAAGGGAATCATAGTTTCTGCATAAGTAGCCCAGAATTCTAAGGACATTCTACCAAACTGATATGGCTTGATAGCCATTGAATACTGTACCTTGTAGAGCAATTTGAAAATGTTCCTTACATTCCTAGTTTCCACTGCAGAACAACTCTCAGTAGAACTACTACCTATCTGAAATATATAATGTTCTCAAACCCACTGCAGGAGTTTCACACAATGCATTACTCTCCAGTGACCTGGAGACCTGTGATGAAGCCATGGCTGTCTTAGATGAAATCATCATGTCCACATTCCAGCAATCTGTGTACTACCTCACTAAGGTGAGCAAGCACTCCCCAAGGAACAAGCCTGACCTTCCGACCCTTCCTTTTTTCCAGTAGTCTTGGTGTCTAATTCTTTCCTCATTTGGCAGACTCTATACTCGGCCCTTCCTGTCTTGCTAGACAGTAACCCCTTCACAGCCATCACCGACCTGTCGCATGTGCCTGAGCTAAGCAGCATGCCAGAGGAAATCCGAAAGACCCTGTCCATCTACCAGGCAACTCTTGAACTCACCCGTGACTGTGACTTGCACCCTGTCCTTGTTTCGCAGACCTTTGGATACCTCTTCTTCTTCTCCAATGCTTCACTGTTCAACACCATCATGGAAAGAGGTGGGTCAGGAACAGTATGCAGACGTTTGTGGCGGGTGGGAAAGAAATTCGAAAGAATGGGAGATGGGTGATTAGGGGAAAAAAGACTCCAGTATTTTGTGGAAGAAAACTAGATAGGTTCACTTCCATAACATAGGGCTATATGGCATTTCAGATCTGAAGACAAACAAGTGCACTTAGCTGCATCTCCCTCCTAAAAAAACCTGTTGTTTTTTTAACTCTGACTCAAGCTAATTATAGTTTAACTTTCTGGATGGGAGAGAGAAAGATAGGGGAAGAATATTGGTTTATTCATACAAAAGCTTTTGATATTGAGTATAGGAACCAAAAATATCCCGAGGCTTCTTGTAAAAAGGCAATTTTTGAACACTAAAACAGGTTGCATCTTTTATGCTTGCAAACAGTTTAAGATATATATATATATATATATATATATATATGGTAGCAAAGGATGATGCCACTTGAATTATCAGGAAATTTTTGGATGGTTGAAAATGGTGCAGCAAGAGGAAGAAAAGAATGACCAGAAACAAGAAGGTGTTTTTTTTTTTGTTAGGACAATGATGTGGAAGAACAGCAGGGAATTTATAGAAAGGATTTCTCTGGCTTTTGAGTGTTGGAAGGAAAAGAATCAAGTAAAAAGTGTAAGAAACTAGAAAATGTAAGAATTGGGAGCTTGAAGGTTCTGTGAAGGACATGGGCCATGATCTGCCCTAAAACTAAGGATATTTTCCTTGTAGTTGCATTCCCACAGCATTATAAACTAACCAGATTGGTTGTGTGTGCCAGGCTTCAAATTGACATTAGTCAGTCTTACCATGTTCTGCAACTACCAGACCTTCAACTGAACTGTGAAGTATAGCATGTCAAATGACTTCAGGAATTCAGAATTGCTTTGAAGTGCTTTTTTAAAACTTGCTAATATGGAAGAGAGGGGAGGAGTGGAAGAAGGAAGGAAGAAAAAGGAAGGGAAGGAGGGAGAGAGGGGAAGAGAGAAAGAGGAAGGAAGGAAGGAAGGAAAGAAAAAAGGAAAGAAGGAAGGAAGGAAAAGAAGACTTTGGATTTTGAATGAATATTTTAGCCAGCTGAGGATTTTTGCTTGTATTGAGATCAAATGAAACAAGAATCCCTTTCTGTGAGAAGTCTGAATTCTCCAAGTCCTGTTTTTTGCTCCTGAGCAATGAAAAGAAATAATCCCATTCTGCCTCTCCCTGCTACCCAGTCCCCCCCGCCCCCCTTCCAGCAGCTGCTGTTTCCTCCTATTTTTTCTTCTGGTCTCTGGTGGAAGCCAGCTATTTCCTGCCTGTCCCAAAGTTCAGGGCTGCCCTTGGACGCAGCAGGAAACAAGCCTGGCTGCCAGGGGCGGTTCCCTCCTCCAGACGCGATGGGGGTGGGTTATGCTGGGGATCAGCTACTTGGCAGGAAAGCCTGGGTTCAGGGATGTCAGCCAAGCTTACCAACTCTTCCTCCTTTCCTCCCACCCATTTCCAGGTGGCTCCCAGTCTCTCTTCCAGTGGGCCAAGGCAGTGCAGATCCAAACCATCCTGGATCTCGTCCTAGACTGGCTGCAAGGAATTGGCCTTGGGGACATCGCCACAGAATTCTTCCAGAAGCTCAGCAACACAGCCAACCTGTTGTGCGTGCCCAAAAACAACTTGCTTCAGGTGAAGGAACTGATTCACATCCCTCTCCTTTCCTCAAATGGGCTCGGGGGCAGCAGCTCAGCTCCAGGCCTTTGTCCACATTCAGGGTCAGCTCTGATGTGGGGCCAGATTGCTACATGTGGTTCCCGACTTACGGGCATTCATTTAGGGCAGGGGTCTGCAACCTTAAGCACTCAAAGAGCTATTTGGGTCCATTTCCCACAGAAAAGGAAACAGTGGGAGCCACAAAACCAACTTGATGTCACTCATTCCCACCCCGTCACATGACAACCCCCCCCCCCAGCCATGCTAGCCCAGGTTTTGTGGTTTCCCAGTATCATCCTTGCCAGATGATTCCACCACTGGCTGGCCCTACCCCGTGTCCTCCCCTCCCACTCACTCCTGGATGGGGATAGTTCCATATTCCAGGGCAAGAGCGAAGTGTCCCTCTGCTTGCCTCTTCTTGCGGCCCTTGTTGGTGCTGTGCGCACCTCCCACTAAGTTTAAGTGAACTATGGAGGTGGTGCGAGGAATATGGGGAGACTTTCTCTCTGCCCCGAGACACTGACGCCGTTGCTTTTGACGCCTGCATGCTACTCACTGCTCTTGCAGTGCCTCGCGCAGCACACTTAAACTTAGCGTGCTTTACAATGGGAGAGACTGCCTCCCCTCTTCCACCTAGAGCCCGTTACCGTGTGGAGCATTGGCTGCAGCCAGCCTGGCCAGTGTCTCGGGGCAGAAAGTCACACGTCACCCCCAGTGGCCGAGGTGCGCACAGCACCAACAAGGGCTGGAAAAAGAGGCAAGTAAAAGGGCACTTCGCTCCCGCCCTGGAATACAGAACGAGTCTCTATCCACTGCCATCACCCTTCTCAGGACAGGCAAGAAGTGTGTGGGAGGAGAGGGCGAGGGGTAGGGCCAGCCGGTGGTGGGAATCATACAACAGGGAGCCGCAAGTTGCTGACCCCTGGTTTAGAGACTATTCAAAGTCACAAGGGTGCTGAAAAAAGTGATTTACAACTGATCCTCACACTTACAACCATCACAGCATTCCCCCAACATGATCAATAGTTGGGTGATTGGCAACGAGCATTTATTTATGATAGTTGAAGTGTCCCAGGGTCATGTGATGACCATTTGTCTTTCCAAGCCTGCTTCTGACAAGCAAAGTCAATGTGTGAAGCCAGATAAGCTTAATAACCATATGATTTGCTTAACAACTGCAGCAAAAAGGGTCATAAAATCGGTCCTGATTCACTTAACACTCACCCTGCTTAGCAACAGAAGTTCCAGCTCAAATTGTGATTATAAGTCAAGAACTATCTGTAAAGGGACTACTTACTATCAGATCCTGGTAGTCTTTTATGTAACATCTGATGCCTTTAAAGAAAATACACCAGGGAATATTACAAAAGTTTTCCCCACCACTTTATATGCAAATACAGCTGCAACCAAAATAGCTGTGTTTTTTTCTACCCAAGTCCATCCTGAGAATCTCCATATGTATTTCTATATATTGAAGACAATCCAGCAAAATGTCACAGTAATAATTTCAGAAATGAGATGTGTGGGGGTTTGTTCTCTCCCTGCGTCTAGCAGGGCAGGATGTTCTGATTTATAAGTAATAAATACCTAAAATAGGTGTCACTTATTTTTCTGAATCCATTCTTTAATAACGCTATCCCTCCATGGGTATGGCTTACACTAGGAGACCAAGTAAATTGGTCACTTTGTTTTTAATGTCATGGAACCAGTAACTTCATTTGGTTAAACCTTTTTGATCAAAATCCGTTTTAAAAATAGTGCTCCTGCAACGTTTAGTATCCAGTGATAAAGGAAATGTACTTTCCCCCTCTCTAGCTGTTTTTATTCATAAACAAATCCAATTCTTGAATCAGTAACATCAAACTATTGACCAGCTATGTTTTTTTTTAATGAGGGGAGGGGGGTAATTATGCCTTCTTCCCCCCCAAACAATGAAGCTACATTAGGGGAGTTAGATACAAATAATATTCCACTGAGAATGAGTCAGATTTGGAGGACCATCTTAAGGGTCACTGCAATTTTTAAAAAATATGTTGTATTCTCTTGATATCCAGGCATCCTGGTCCCGCCTAAGAAATGATTATCCAGCACTGACACCAGCCCAGCTCCAGCATGTGCTCAGAAATTACCAACTGGGACCAGGCCGTGCATCTCCTGAATGCTGGAACCCACCTGAGAAGGAACAAGATGAGATTGCACACAGTACGTGAGCTTTTAAGTGTGACATCTTTAAGTTGTTTGCCAATTTTTAAAAGCTTTGTAGGGGTTTCTCTGACCTTTATCACCATATGCCCTTAACCAGGACACAACCACACCTCGATGATCAATTTTCCTCATGGCATTTCCTTATTCTTACCCCCAGCCCATGAGCGAAGCAGCTGAAATCACCATTAAGTTGCCAGTATAAAAATAACATTTTCTTCCTTAAGCCCGTGCGATTTCCCCACAGCCTCAAAGTCTATAAAATCTGTCATCCATTCTCTTAGATATGGCTGATTTTAAATAGAATCAAATGTGTGTTTTGGGAGTGCTATGAGGTGGGGGCACACTTTCCTCTTCTGATCACACACTCATTCCTTTCCCAGCTTTTGCCTTCTTCATTAGTGCTTGATTTTGTCGGTTCCTTTCAGTCCTGCCCCATCCCTCTTTCCCTGTTTTTGACATCATCATCTTTTCTTCAAGCTTCCACCAAGGCAGAGAAGAGCAGAATGGAGTATTTTATCTTGAGAAAAAGGCAGCCTATTTTTCATTATTCATCTAGAACAATACACTGAAATGTATCTTTTCATTCAGACGTGGCATCCCCATTATTTTCCTGCTGTAACTGGAAAACAAGGGAGGGAGCCTGAGCCGACGACTGTTGCCCAGCTTTCAAATATTTGTCTGTTTCAAGCATTTCCCAGCCCTTGTGGCTGAAGGAGGAAACCTGTTTGCTCAGCAATGTGGTAATTTCTGGTCTCCTGTGTAAAAAATAGCTAGTTATACTAATAAGGCCTGGGCTGCCTCTCCATACTCCAGGAGTATTTCTGCCCCATATCTATATTATTAAATTTATATGACTCCCATCTCACTGTCCAAAGCACTTCAGATGGCTTACAATGCAGTAAAAATACAAGTATAAAAACATTTTTATGAACCTATAATCCCTTGATTCGGGGCAACTGAATGGAGCTGAGCATTTACTGGCCGGATGCCCTTCCTGATGCCTAAGCAGAGTTTGCAACAGATATTTTCTTTTTACATCCTGATAAAAAACATCTGTCACTGCTTAGAACTGAACTCTCAACCTTCCAAGTGGGAGGCAAGCATTTTCACCTCTAGGCCATTGCACTACTCATTAATATTTTAAAAAAAGATTTTATATACATATAAAAACAATTAAAATATAAAAACAATTAAAAACACCAAGAGTTAAATTTTCATGTGTTAGGAAAGAGGCAAACCAACCAAGGTAGGGAACCTCAGGCTGAAGTCTAAAGCCAGGCCCATGCTATTCTCTGATGGTAGATGTTTTGTCTACTGGTTGAAAGAAGCCCAGCAAAGATGAAGGGCAAAAAAAGTGTGAGAAGCACACTCTGTAATGAGCACGGGACCATTCATTAGTGGCTAGGAACAGGAACTGGCATTGGGGTGAACACATGTTACACTGGCTCCGATTCATGCTGACCCAGGATATGCCTGCCAGGTAGCAATTCATTAAATGAAGCTTTTCTTCTGCATTGATATGTCTCTTTTCATTCAGTTCTAGTTTGCATTCCTCCTTTCTCTTTCATTCTTTCACCCTCAAAACACATAAACTGGAATGTGGATATTAAAAATCAACCTAGGATAGATACATGAAAAATGGGGGGTGGGGGGGGAGGGAATTGCCTCTAGTGAGAAATCAGCCCTCTCGAAATATTTCGTCAACACCAATTCAGTCATGGTTCTTCAGTTGGTTTTGGTATAGCAGATCATGACAAAATCTATAACGTTGGTGTTTGGTTTAACGTTTTTTCTCTTCCTTTCTTATCTCCTAGTCTTACGTGTAAAACCAAACAGGGCTAGCAGTCTTAGGCAGCCAAACTACTATTCTGCACTAACATTATAGTCTCCTGGCTAATGTAACATCGCCATATGCTAAATAAATAAATAACCATCAACTTCGCTGTTTTCATAATCTTTATTCCCCCCAGGTGATATATTTGAGAGTTTCACCGACCATCCTCCCCTCATTCTTCCATGTGATGGCTTCCGCTTGTCTCTGTCAGAGCCTGTGTCAGATGATACTCTTCATCGCCAACTGGTGCGCTTGCGCCGTTTTCTTTGGGAGCTGGAGCGTGAATCTCTCCCAGCCAATCAGAGAGCAGTATATGGGCTGGATCCCAGCCAATGAAAAGAGGTGCTGATGCCAATATTCAAAATGGTGCTTTGACCTCGAGAGGCACTTTTCATAACAGACTCTGGTGGGTCAGGCTGTATGGAAACCCTCTATCTGATTCTGGGAAATGCAGAATCACCTGAAATAGCTCTTGCTTCTTTGCATGCAGAATGGTCTGGGAAGATCAGCGGTTGCCCTGGTATCCAAGGTCAGAAAGAATAAATTCTTTGGCTTCTGTTCCAGCCATACCATCTGGTGACAGGTGTTGACTTCAAGGTGCAATTTGGAAATGTCTTTGAAAGAGGACTAACTTCAACCCTAGGTTATTATTTTTGGCCTTAGATAAGACTGTTTGTAGCAAACTCTGTATTCTTCTTTTTTTCCCCTTTGCAATAAAATGATTATCTGAAACAAATGGATCAAGTATTTTAGAGTGGCAGGCAGCAACCGTATCACTCAGAAGGCGGAAATGTGGGAAGCAGGATAACTGGAAGAAGTGTATTCAGGCTACGTCAGACTCTCAAGGGCAGTGTTTCTCAATCTTGGCAACTTTAGGATGCGTGGACTTGACCAGCTAGGAAAGCTGGGAAATTCTGAGAGTTAAAAGCCCACACATCCTAAAGCTGTCAAGCTTGAGAAACACTGCCCCAAAGTATGTTGATTTGGGTCTGATGAGGCTGTCTGTCCTTAATGTGAAATATTTTGTGAGTAAAGATTCAGCGTGCTGGTCTTTGGTAGAAGCTTACTATTGCTGGGACGTGCCTCTTTTCCATTGTCCCAGACCACAAGTGTGCTATCTTTGTCAATAGCATCAGTTTCACGACTGTGCCTGGAATTAATCTCTGATATCTGAGCCCGGGGAAGACCTATGAGCTCATGCCACTCCCCCTTCTGGATGTCCAACGAAGCTCCCAGCGAAGCGGTCATACCAAAGGGTGGTTTAGAGTAGCCCTTGCTACGATTGCTTTGCACCAAGGATATTGCAGCCAAGGCAGGAAATCCAGAACTGTTCACCACATACATGATTTATTTATATCCCAACTTCATTATTTTAACAAATAACCCGAGGTAGCAAACATATCCAACACACTTTCTCCTCCTATTTTCCCCACAAGTTACCCAGCCACCTTTCATGCCTATGGCAGGACTAGGACTCATGATTATAGAGAGGGAGATCCAGGTGAAAGAAATGATTGAGACCAATTCACCACCAGTAAATCAGTTTTAGCTTTGAATCATGAAGCTCTGAATGTGAAGGTCTGGATGCCCACAGCCCCATTCCTTGGGGTGAGGAGGGACCATGCGAGGCAACGCAGCTCATGCAAAGTCATAGATCAGGAGTCCCCAGCCCCTGGTCCGTGGCCTATTCAGAACGGGGCCGCTCAAGTGGTGGGCCAGTGCGCATGTGCAATGTGTATCAACCAACCATCTTCCTCTTAAAATGCAGGTAGTCATCAACTTACAACCCTAAAGTCATGACGATGATAAAGTGGGTCACTGACTTGACCAACCTAATTTTATGGCCTTTTTTACAGCGGTTGTTGACTGAACACCAAGGTTATTAAGCCAACTCATTTTTCGCTACGGGCTTGTTTTGCCAAAATCTGAAAGTAAATGTCGATTTTTCTGAAAAGCCATCATAAAACAGTCACATGATTGCAGAACACTGCAAATGGCCGTACATGCAGGTTGGTTGGTTGAACACCTGAAATGCAGAAACACTGCAAATGTGGGGAGAGGGCAACTGTGGGAACTTTGGAACCAGGTCGTAAGTACTCCTGGAGACTGTGGTAACTTCAAACAGTTGCTAAGCACATGATCATAAGTTGAGGATTACCTGAAATACAGTAAAAAGACTTGGCTCCTGACTATGTGAAACTCAAGAGGAAAAACAGGTCTGTATATGGATATACCCGCTGCCCTTGTCTATGATTTTTACCTGGAAATGTGTATGCATTTGAGTCCAAAACAGATTATGAGATGAGAGCCACAGAAAGCAATACTGTAAAGATAAAAGAACCCTTGCCTTGTCTTCTCTCCCACTGCCTATGAATGACCGTGTGTCCTTACAAACACACAAAAATATTATACGCACGCACAATTCACCAGTTTCTCACACTGTGAGGAGAGATGACTTTTTCACATGCGGCCAGGAGGGGTCAGTGTTGTTCATCCATACAGCCCAGGACATGGCACAAGCATTCAAATCCAACAAGGTTTCAGCTCCTGTCCCGTCAGGTCAACATTGCCAGAGGGGGCACACAGAAACAACCACATATGCAGGCTCAAGTGCAGCTCCGGGGGAAGGTGGGACATAGGTGGTGCCAAGGGGGAGGGCCCAAGCGGGGACACAGGCAGCAAGCGTGTCTGACTTTAAATACCCTGATCAGAACCTGATCTGCCATGTCAGTGAAATCCAGTGCGGGCCTCAGACAGCTGGCAACAGGTGACACCTGTTGTGTGAAGAAACACTGCCTGTGGCCTGACAGTAGCGGATGGGAAAGGGCAAAGGCAACGTAGCGAGACCCTCGCCACTTACTCTGGGTTTTGCAGGGTCTGCTCTGAAGAGGAAGGCTCTGCTATGAGAAGAGGGTTGCCCTGTCCACAAGCAGTGCCCTTGTGCCTGCCATTTTGTAAGGAGAAAGAACTTTGCTATATAAATATAACATGGTGTCTCTGAAAAGTATATTTCCTTCAGTGCCAAGGGGCGTGGGGGCCTGAAGCCTACAGAGAATGAACAAAAGCCTCCTGGGACCAACGTGAAGCACAATGTTGCAACTATTCCCAATCTCCTGGCAATAAAGCTCCAGGGTGTCAAGCTTCACTGCAGGTAGTCCTTGACTTAACAACAGTTCATTTAGTTCAACTGTTTTTAGTGTTTAACTGAATTTAGTGTTTAAAGTTGCAATGGTACTGAACTGACTTATGGCCGTTTTTTACACTTACGGCCGTCGCAGCATCCCCGTGGCCACATGATCAAAATTTAGACGCTTGACAATTGACTCATACTTACGACGATCGTTGTGTCCGGGGGTATGTGTCAGGTGATCCTCTTTTGTGACCTGACAAGAAGGGGAAGCCAGATTCACTTACTAACCGTGTTACTCACTTAACGACTGCAGTGATAGTAACTGTAGCACCAAAGGTCGTGAAACAGGGCAAAGTTCCCTTAACAAACATCTCACTTAGCCACAAAATTGTTGGGCTCAGTTGAGGTCGTGGATTACCTGTATACTTACCTGTTTTAGGATCCTGGGAAAGAGGTTCCAACTGCCCTTCCTTCTTTGTTTTCACTTCTGTTCTTCAGCTGATGCTCCTCCTTTCAGGGCTCCTTCCGTTGGGCCGGTGGAGCCTGTGAGTTCACAACCAGAGGCCTTCCCTTCTCTGCGATTAAGGATGGTACTCTGGATGTCACACCCAGGAACAGGGGATGAATGGCACTGCCTCCTGAGCAGCAAGAACTGGCTTGTCCCCTGGGCAACGGCTGCAAAGTCAGGCTCAATTTCTCTGCAAGCGAGGAGTTTTGCACAAACGTCCCACATGTGCCAGGCCATGCTGATGTGCTGGTGTGCCAGGCCGACAGGTTTCTCTCCCTTCCAGCTACAGATTTTCACTGGACGTCAACCTACTGGACAAGGGCACCTCAACTTATGACTGGTTGCTTAGCAAACATTCAAAGTTACGACGGACCCTGATAAAGGTACAGCTAGTCATCGACTTACAATCACAACTGAGCCCAAAATTTACACTGCTACAGTAAGTGAGACATTCGTTAAGTGTAGTTTTGCCCCTCTCTTTGCCCCAGTTGTTAAGTGAAACCCTGTGGTTAAGTTAGTAACAAGGTTGTTAAGTGAATCCGGCTTCCCCATGGACTTTGCTTGTTGGAAGGTCGCAAGAAGGGGATCACATGACCCCGTCATAAATATGAACCAGTTGTCAAGCGCCCTAATGTAAATCACGTGACCAATGGTTGTAAGCATGAAATATGGTCACAAGTCCCTTTTTTCTGTGCCATTGTAACTTTGAACAGTCACTAAACGAACTGTCATAAGTCAAGGACTACCTGTACTTGTATCCTGTATTCAAAATCATGATGTCTGGCGGGACCCATTGCGTCCACCTGATCACAGTTTATGATGTTTTCACCAGTAAACACCAATGCTTACCAACCACAGCGTTCATTTTGTGATTGCCACATTCACTTAACAACCACTGCAAAAGAAATTGAAAAATCGGTCGCAGTCTTGTGGCGACTCACTTAACGATCACTGTGACTTATGACTGAAATTGAAGGTTCAATTATGGTCATATGTCAAGGACTAGCAGTCTTTCTTCCAATCTCGTTACACCATGCCCACCTTCTGAGACACCGCCTCTGTTCCCGGCATATGACCATAGGTGCAAGTCAGAAACTGAGTACGGCAGCATCTCAAAAGCTGTGGCTGTATGTAGAATTGTCTTTTATGCAACCAATGGGGAATCCAGGCAAGTGAAGTGGGAAAGAAAGGAAAGGAAAAGGGAAAGGAACGGAAAGGAAAAGGAAAAGGAAAGCAAAGGAAAAGGAAAAGAAAAAGGAAAGGAAAGAAAAAGAAAAGGAAAAGGAAAAGAAAGGGAAAGGAAAAGGAAAAGGAAAGAAAAGGAAAAGGAAAGGGAAAGGG